AAACTGGGTAGTCTTCTGATTTCACTAAATGTCAAACGGTTTTCTACGATGTCGTTAGCTAATTGGTGGAGATTGTCCAATTTTATGTTTTTCAAGTGTGTACCTAAATTTAGGAATGCATTAATTCAGGTAGATTTGGAAGGTCGGGAAATAGTATAGATTGGGCATCGGATTTCAGAAGCTTCTTTTCATTGATTATCAGTCTCGAAGATATAGTTATTTGGTAACTGATTGGACTAGAAGGGTCCCAATAACTTTTCGGATTTCTTCTTGTCCAAAGCACTTGAGTTCGATAGATACTTTAGCCGGAACGACGAATACTTATTGATTGGATTTGTCCAATCGATTGATTATTGGTCGTGTGATTTTGATTTCGGTTGGCTTGCAAGTAGAAGTGTCTTTTTCAGAGTTCAGTAGCTTTATTTCACATGGCCTGCTGTCTTGAAATTCTTCTTTTTCGCATAGGTAAAATTCAGCAAAGATTTCCTGGCATTCTTGGCCATAATGTGCGTAGTGCAATCCCTTTTTTTAAAAAAAATTATTTTGTGGAAGGACTACCTTAAACTGACTCTTGACTTTTGATTGGTATTGAATATAGGTGGAAAGATTCAGGGTACATTATAAGTATGTGGACCAAATAATTTACCTTATTGTTAAGAACAAATGATTCTAATTTGATGATTTTTTCATACAAAAGGATGTTCTCAACATTAACTGCTTAAGGCATTTGTTCATTACTTAGTTGTTTTTGTAATTTAATTAGTTCTGTACAGAGATCTTCAGTTCTCATTATGCTAGGATGCATAATTTTTAACTTAGAAAAATTTAAAAAGTTTTCGACATCCTGTAGTATTGAATCTATTATTTTGTAGATATTAATAATTTGATTAATTATGTCTTTGATATAAAGAGAATTTTCTCTATAAGCAGATTTCTCTACTATATGTGCGATTTAATTGATTTTTGATTCTAGGAGTTTCTCATTATAATTTATTTGTTTTATCGTTGTATTGAATTTTTCAATAATAGTTAGAGAAAGTGAATTTTCTTTCAAAATACTTGATTACAAATTCTTCTGATATCCTTGTAATTCCCTTATAAGATTTTCATATCGCTGGCCATCGTCAGCGTTGAGGTTTCCGGTTACGGATTGGAAAATTGACCCTAGGCCTTTAATCAATCTTCCTTTTGTTCTTTGTGGTTGGGGAATTATTTCTTTAATTTTGTTATCTACTCTAATTTGTATTAGTTTAATTAATTTGATATAATTGCTAATATCTTCAGAATAGTCCTTATGTTCATTAAGCATAATGGTGATATTATTGGATTTAGAGAGTGGTTTGTTAATTTCGATTAGTATGGGATTTAGGTCATAGTAATGTATTAATGTGTAGGTGTAGTCTCTAATTTTTGCATTTCCAAGTTTCACTGGGATAATTCCAGGATTATCTTCCAATTTTCCTATAGAGATTTGCTCATGATTTCCGAATGCATGGGTTAGAAAGCTGAAATAAAGATTGGTAAGCGTAAGCATGAGGTTATAATATTCATATTTATTAGTACCATTAATATACTAATTATTTATTAAAATTAACTTAAGTATCAAAACTATATTTGTTCCTTAGGGCCACATTATGGACTGACTGGTAAACGTTTGGTTGTTACCTAGCAGGTACTTTCTATGCACTAGAGAATAGAAAGTACCTGCTCGGTAACAACCAGACACTTACCAGTTGGTCCATAATTTGGCCCTTAGAGGAGGACGTTTGATATTATCCATATGCAGTTTGCCTAGAGTGTCCGTCGTTATGGTTTTCCATGGTCAACGGTCTCTATTTGTATGGCTGGTTGAAATTTGTCTCCTAATTTTTAGTGTACATATTAATATATGTTTATTTACGTACATATACATATTATCTTCTGTTCTGGTCTAAATAATGTTGGCTTATCACGATTTTCTTTGATTTTGTCGATTATTTTATTTTTTGTATCAATAAACGCTCGTTTATGTTGGAATACAAGTTTTGTTTTATTTTTCTGCTCGTTGACGTAATCTGTTATTAGAAGTTGATCTAACTATGGATCATTGGGACTCATATATCCAGTGATTAAGGTAAAGTACCCAATTGTTGACACCCAAAAAAATTCACTTCGCCAAAAGTTGACACATTTTTAGTCCAAAGGTTAACATATATTTTTTTACAAAACCAAATTTTTACTTTTAAGGAATTTTATCACCGTCTGTGGAACTGAGAAGTATATTTTTCTAAGTGTATAATTTTTTAAATGAAATATATGCATATAATGACCAATTATTTTCATTTTTTTAAAGATATGTCTGGTTCCATTACTTGACACTCTTGAAACCAATAGTTGACATGTTGCCTGTATCACTAGAAACCCTGGTAGAAACATCATGTAAGAATCAATCTTTTTATTATTAAAAAATAACATTGGGAAACTTTTTGTTGGGAAAAAATACAAATCTCAATTCCAAATTGGTAATAAAAGAAATTGCTTAGAAAACATTGGTACATAATATGTGTTTTTTTGCTGATGTAGCTACAGTAAGCCCCCTATCGTAATCATCCAACGCAGCAGTCATGTCTTCTGGTAGTTCTGGTGCATATTTCAGCAATTTCCATTTTTTATAAGCCATCTCATGATTTAAACCTGAAAGGACCAATTGTTGACACTCTAAAGTTCCAAATATTGACAGGGGTGAGAGGGGTGTCATCTATTGGATCTACGACCGTCACATTCCCCAAACCCATATCTAGGTTTCTTTTTAATCCAGAGCAATAAAAAGAGACAGACTATAATGTTAAAATATTTTTACCGCCAAAAATCCATAAGTTGACACTACTGTCAACATTTGGATCACCCCTCGATTTGGGCTCCAAATTTAAGAGATAAAACAATAATAAATATGTATTACAATGTATCTTATTAAACAGTAAATATATATTATTCATAAATTATCAACCCTACCTTAGCTTTGAGAACTTTTGTTTCCATATCTTCTTAACTACTTTCACTAGAAATCTGGAAAAAAGTTCAAACAATTGCACCTGTTTACTACTTCTTGCCACCATTCTGAAAAAACTTGTGATTTCAAATCCAGGCATTAGCTATAACGCGCAAGATGGCTCCAACAATACTATAAGCCATTTCAGTTAGCTTACAATCTCTATAAATTCTTATTTTCGGGAATAATATGCTACTGTGTCAACTTTTGGGACCCTGTCAACAACTGGATACTTTACCAATGGGCCCTTGTTTGATCACAGAGTGGATCGTATATTTGTATGCTAAGATTGCATATTTAATTTTTTGGGTAATTGGTGTTTTGAGGAATCCTTGATTGTTAAAAATTCTTATGTGCTCAGATAAGGTTGAGTGAAGTCTTTCAATTACGCCGTTCGTTTGAGGGTGTTCAGGAGAACAAAAATGTATTTTTACTTTGTGAACTGTAGGGGGATTGTGAAAGAGGTTTGATAATTCGCAGTAGAATTAACTTAATAAAGTGATATATTCCAGATATTCTTTCCGAACAAACTTATCGAAGTCACTGGAGGTTTGTTTCAAACAATTTTCATCTGGTTTTACCGCGATTTCATTGGCCCTAACTGTTTTTTTGACACCTCATAAACAAACCTTATGTGATTACAATCAGTTTGTTCAGATCGAAAGAATACCTGTATTATATGACATAAAATTAATGACACATGACAATAAATTTTCTACAGATCGGCAATCCCGAAATACACTGAAAATAGCTCATTTTTCTTCCATCTTCTGGACCTAAAGTTGTCCATTAGTAGGGCTTTATCAGATCTTGATCCAAACATATTAATCATCTCTGTTTGCAGCTCTTCCATTCCATTGTGACATATAACGTTTTAGACAGGAACAATCTCTAGCTTGCCCAATAAGCTTGCCAATAGCAATAAGTTGCATAACCTGGTCAGGTACTACACTGCCTGAACTGCATCTAAACGCTGTACCCAAGTCTCGATGTCTTGCCCTGACCCACTGAAATTAGGCAGATGAGCTACTATCTCTTGGTTCTTAAACCTACATTGGGGGGGCTCAGGATTAACAACTAGGGGTTTTCTAGGATTCAATTGCTGCAACATGATACTTCTTACCGTAGTTTCAACAATATCTTCCACTGTTATCTGAGATGGCTGAGGCGGAGATCCATCACCTGCACCCGTTTGATTCAGATCCTCCAAGGACATTATCGGGCTGTTATAGGACTTTATCCCACTTCTGATATTGTAGGGGGATTGTGAGAGAGGTTTAATAATTCGCAAACACTTCATACGATTCTTACACAAGGGTGTAGATTCGAGTTCCCGGTTAGTCCGATTTCCGAAAATTTCGTAAACCAGTTCCAAAAACAAAAATCCGGACGACGCCAGTTATCAATCCGTAAGCCGATAACGAGTTTTTCAAAAAACAATTCATTCCCTAATTTACGCGGCACGTGAGTAGGTAAAATTGTTAACAAATTTTTCATTTGCTGAAGAAATGCTTAAAATTGATATACACTTCTTCATTCAGCAATAATAATTTTGGTTTATTTCTACATTTTTTCTAACGTATGAAATTACATATAGTGAAAAATTTCAAAAAAACTGTCACTATCAAAAGAATAGCTGCATCAGAATCAAGAAAATGGATAGATACATTTCATCTCAACGATAGATATAGATAAAGTTTTTTTTTTTAAGATAAAAGTCAGAATTACATTATGTTGGCAATACAATGTAAAATTGTCAATGCTTTCAAATTTTTTATGTAGAAAAGGCTTGTGTGCCAACATAGTTACTAAATTTTTGACTTGGGGTATTATCTTTAAAAAAAAACAGATTTTAGGCATAAAAACAATCAAATGGAGTGCCACTCCTCCAAACTGTATTTTTATGAATAAAAAAAATGTGGCAATATCAGGGCGTGGCACCCTGATACCTCAATTTTTTAAAGATTTTTAGACACAATCCATAACCTATTATGCAAGACCAAGACCACTTATTAGACTGCAAGACCAAGACGGCATATGCAAGACCAAGACTAGCCCGTTCTTGGTCTTGGTCTCGCATTTGCTCATCACTTATTTTATTTCTATGTATCTGTAACTCATTATTGCTGTGTCCTTTATCAAAATAGGTACCTACCTATATCAGTAAAAACCATTACTTTATTTTGTTTATTATCAAAGTTCTCTATATCCTCTCATGAATAGTTTTAATATTTTTTAAGTATTTATATTTTCTATTAAATTTCAGGTCACAATTATTTTGGACTTAAAAAAATGCAACGTAAATTGGTTCATCTACAGCTTGGATGCAGATGAAGCCAGTTTGCATGTCGAAAACGACTCGGATGGTTGCGAAGTCAACATGGCAAGTCATATAAGTCTACCTTCCAAAAGTCTGTTCCAATTATGGGAAAGTCTGTTCTATGAAAAAAACATTAAAGGAAATGTAAGTAACTGTACTGTGAAAATCTAGCAGTTTGCTAACATATTGTTTTTTGGTTCTAGCTTCTAAAATATGCTAGAACAATGATGAAATTTTCAGATAAAAAGGTTAATTCTACATTAGTGAATTGCAACAAAGTTATTTTGCTTCATGGACCGCCTGGAACAGGGAAAACTTCTTTGTGCAAAGCTCTGGCACAAAAGCTTAGTATACAAATGAAAAATTCATTCCCTACAGGTGGATGTTTAATTGAAATCAACAGTCACAGTTTGTTTTCCAAATATTTTTCTGAGGTTTGAAAGAAACCCCAAAATTTTATTTCCGTTGAAATTCCTTTTTTTGTAGAGTGCAAAATTAGTACATAATATGTTCACAAAAATCAGATTGATATGTGAAGACAAGAACATTTTAGTGTGTGTTCTTATGGACGAAGTAGAATCGTTGACACGAGCTCGAGATCAATGTTCTTCAGGTAAAACTAATTTTGAATCTCAAATGTCCTATTTGAGATTTCAATTAAATCCTGTCTGTCCACATTATCTTAGATGTAGCTTAATCCTTATCATTTTTCTGGTAATGGTTTCAACATTTTATTCTTGTCTTGTTTACTCAATAGGTCTAAGAACTGTCCCAGACTTTCGTGTAATCTTTAATCATTTGAAATTGCCACATCTGAAATTACTAGCAGTTTTTTAGCACATTTTTATCTTGAACTAACTAGACTTAATTTATCATTTTTCCTTATAGGATCTGAGCCTTCTGACGCAATAAGAGTAGTCAATGCAATGCTGACCCAAATCGACAATATAAAACAATACCCAAATGTTCTGATATTGGCCACGTCCAATCTAACCGGAACCATAGATTTGGCTTTTGTGGATCGTGCAGATGTCAAGGAGTATTTGGGCCTACCTGGAATTCCAGCTATTTATAATATTTACTACTCGAGCATTACTGAACTGATAAGGGCAGTCAGGAATAATTTGTCAAACAAATGAAAATAACTATGTTTTAGGTCAATATAATCAAAGGTGATGATATTAGCGATCAGGCAGGTGATACAGGGGACAGGTTTAGTCAAAGACTAACAAAAATTTGTGAAAAAAGTATTGGTTTGAGTGGAAGATCATTGAGAAAAATACCTTTTTTGGCTGATGCTTTATTTTTGAAAGGCAACCAACCAGATGTATATGACTTTTTAGATGCTATGGAACAAGCTATCGAGAAAGAACTTTCAGACAGGAATTATTTTATTGCACCTAAGTGATTTTTTTTATATGAAACCTAATTATTTTTTCCTATTTATTTATAATTTATATAGCTCTGTTCCAACAGGCATGAGAACCGTTCCAGAACGGTAATTTCTAGTCGATCAATTCATTTTTCAATTAGGATAAACGTTCAACTCAATGAAAAATAGGTGGGCAACTGGTTCTGGAACGGTTCTCATGTCTGTTGGAACAGAACTTATGTGTTCTGGTTTCTACAAATTACCCCAAGATATTTTTTTGAATAAATTTTAAATTTCAACTTATGCCTCATTTCCATTCAGATCACCTGCTGATTCTAATGTGGTAAACTATGAACATATTTAAGCTATCATCTTTTATTAAATAAATATTCTCTAATAAATCTTACACAAAAAAATTATTATTCTTCAGCTGCAACTTCCTCCTTGAGCTTTCTAAGTTGTTTAATTTGAAGACAAGTTCCTCTAAGCCTTAATTGTACATTAGCTGCTTGTACGAGCCACTGTACAGCTTGCCTGTAAAGATTTTGGGCAAGCTGTAAATGTTGGGGTTGCATATATCCAAACCATTTTATTGGGTTGATGTGGTGTTCGTTGTCCGGTTTTTGGGATTCTAGATCCAGTTTTTCATGTCCGTATTCGTCTTGGGAATGATGAACTACCAATAGGGCATCAAATTCTGGAGTGTTTTCGGTTGGCAGTTGTATGCTGGATACACTGTTTTGTCCTAAAATGTATCTGAAATAAAATAAATATACTTTATTCAGCACTTGGCTAATCACTACATCATACAAATAGCAAGATAAGTATAATTATCTCAAAGATTGCAAGTTCTTAGAATCCCTAGTATTCCTTAGAATGCAACCATGCATCTTACAAGCACCACTCTTAGGCCCAGTTGTACAATCTCGGTTCAAAACATAGTTCAATTCAACTCGTCTGGTACTTGAGCTTTTCCATTTAAAAATACATTGCTGTCAGCTATTAATCGAATTTTCGAAGTTCAAGTACCAGTCGAGTTCAGATGAACTCTGTTTTGAACCAAGATTGTACAACTGGGCCTTAGCATATCAAATATTACGCCTAGATCTTTAATTTGAGAGATGTGAGAAAGTAAGAAATCCTGGATACTATATGAAAAGTGTATGAGTTTCAGTTTTCTAATATATTTGGTAATATTGTCTATATCGGCCTGCAGTCATGCAATCATCGTTTTTGATCTCAGAATAAATTTTTAAGTAGTCTACAGACATCAAACAGGAACCGCTTTTGAACAACTCGGTTAAACTGTGAATAATAAAAGAAACAACAATGGTCCAATATTGTATCCCTGTGATATGCCTGAAATTGACTTGAAGGGAAAAGTTGTAGCTTTTTATTGGCACCTTGTGCTGACGCTTATACAGATAAGTTTCAAAAAATTTAATCAATTTGAAATGGAATCCAAACTCATAAGCTCCTCATGAATGAAGACAAAACAGAGAAATTGGTTTTCTCCCTCAGATACTCCAAAGGTGTAAATGAAGTTGCGAGAAAGGTGCGATTTCTTGAAGTTTACATTGACCCCACTCTCAGATGGGACGCCCAAATTGATTAGGTTTCATCAAAGCTTAGCAAGGCTCTTTTTGTCCTTCGTAATCTTTCCCATAGTGTCTCAGATAATATGGTGAAAATTTCGTACCATGCTATATTCCACTCTGTCGACTTATGGTATTTTGGTTTGGAGTCTCTGTGGGTTTCAGAGAAGGGTTATCTGAATCATGACGGGGTTGGGTTTCAGGAAGGACTGTAGACAGGCCTTTAAAAGTTTAAATATACTTTGAGGCTAATAGCATTTTAAGTTCGAACCAGTTTGGTTTCAGGGAGGGGCTAGTACAACAGATGCAATGTATGAGTTGGTTAGTAAGATCACTGGGAGTCTGGATCGGGGAGACACATGCATTGCTGTTTTTCTGGATCCAACGAAGGCGTTCGCCACGGTGCCCCATGATAAACTTCTTGATGTTCTGGAAACATATATGGAAAGAGGAATCGTGTTGGACACCTTTAGGAGCGTACCCAGTATGTCAAAATTGAAACTGTTTCGAGTGCCCCTGGAACTGTAAAGATCGGCATACCACAAGGAACGGTTCTGGGACCTATCTTGTTTAGTGCATATATCAACTCATTGTTTGGGCTTGAAATATCGGGTACTGCGACTGCGTATGCCGATGACTCGGTTCTGCTGTTTAGTGCTGGAATGCCGAGAAAAGGTGATTGTATCTCTTCAAAAAATTGAGGATTTCTTGGATACTTTAAACTATCACCAAATGTGGACGAAACAAATTATATTGCCTTTTCTATTACTGAAGCGAACAGACGTGGTTTCAGCAGCACCATAAGGGTGGCATGGCAGCAAGCAGACCCCATTGAAACTTGAAAGAAGTTATTTGTACCAAATATCTAGGCATAATTATAGACCGACCCTTGAAATGGGAAGACCATGTATCACATTTATGTAGAAAGACACAATATCTTATACATATATTTTATGTCCTAAGGGAATTTTTGAATAAAAAAAAAACTGATAATGGTTTATAAAGCCTTAACTGAACAACTCCTGAGATACAGATTACTAGTTTGGGGTGGTCTTCATAGTAGTAGGTACATTACAACCACTCAGTGTTATCCAAAATCGAGTGATCTTCAAAAAACCTAGATTGTATCAAACAAAACTGCTTTATTCAAGGGAAATATGCAATATTAGAAAACTATATTACATTGGTCTGCCTATTTGTTCATAAAAATAGAAACTTTAATACGAACTATATACAAAACCCATATGGAACTAGGAGTCGAACAAATATCCCATGTAGCAGACGTAACATAAACCAAAGGTATATTGATTATCTGGTATCTGGCGCCAAAATTTTACAATTGTTTGTTTACAAAACTGCATGTCATACAGGTACTTTACACACTTAGTTGCACCATACATTCTTGGAATAATTTTGTTAGGCTATATGATTATTGTTTTTTACAGATTTAATTTAATACAGTACTTCTTTACATACTTGAAAATCTGCTGTATGTGAAGGATAACAAGGATAAATTCAGGGTGCATGGTGAGGTCCACAGCTATGACACAAAACAAAAAAACTTGATCATCCCAGCTTATAGGTTGAAGAGGTGTCAGGACAGTCCAGAACATCTTTCAGTTAAATTCTTTAATACTCTTCCGAATCACATGAAAAGATTAGAACAATGCATTCAATGCAAATTCAAGAGTAGGATTAAGCAACTTTTTTGTTCCAAATATTTTTACTTATTTGAGGAGTTCCTTAAGTACACTGAACATGTCGTTTCGACTACAAATTTTACTGTGATTTTATATTTTACTACTGTGTACTTAAAGGTGAAACTGGTAAATGTCTAATCTTTTTGATGACTATAAGTACCTATGTATATTAACATGAATAAAATTGAGAATTGAGTATTTCAGTATAATTATGGTATAGTTTATACGAAGTCAATCTGAACAGCATAAGAAATTTGACTGACTGGAAGAGGCCGTCTAGGAATGTGTAGTTCGGCATCACAAAATTGGATCATTTTCATCGGGGGGTAAATTAGGCAGTCCCAGTATGCAACTTTTTTTTAAGCTGTTCGGATTAACTTCGTATGAACTATACAAATGAGTCAATCACAAGGATGCTCAGACTTGCCAACCCAAGGACCCAAAGTATTTACCTCTTTGTCCTCTTTGGTTGTCCTTCTAGGCTTGTATTTTCCAATTCGTTCGAGTACATTTCGTACACGAAATTTGACTGACAGCATTCCAAATCGTATCAAAATTCGTATGCGAGAATATTGGAAAATACGAGCCCTGGTGTTGCCTTTAGAAAGAGGCTGCTACTGTTGTTTGCTGGATAGTTCTTAAATTAAGTTGTAGCTGACTTTTGGAATTCAAGAAGTTATAGTTATGCACTTGGTGAGAATTCATCAGGATGATGTTTGTTATCTGCTCAGGTTTAGGTATGTTTTCGGGTATGTTGTAAAACTATATTCCATGTGTGGCTAAATTCACAAAATGGTGCACCGCCACGGATGCGGTGATACGATTCACTAATGCCTACCATTCCACCACGGTGCCTACACCAGCTGAATTTAGCCACACGCAGATTGTGAATTGTCCTTGCCGTAAATAAATGAATACTGATGAAATCTCTCCTGGCAACAACATCAACTGGCAAAATGGCACTGTTCAATTCAATTCTTTATTGTCTAACAGGAATACATACTCCCAATAATGAGACAATTAGTGCACTTAAGAGCGAACAAAAATATGAAAATTTAAAAGCTAAGATTATATCACACATAAGATCCAGAAAACCAATAAGAAGCCTAAAACTAAAATAAAAACAACTATGAAACTAAAAACAACAATAAAAATGAAAATAAAAATAAAAATAAAAATAAAAATAAAAATAAAAATAAAAATAAAAATAAAAATAAAAATAAAAATAAAAATAAAAATAAAAATAAAAATAAAAATAAAAATAAAAATAAAAATAAAAATAAAAATAAAAATAAAAATAAAAATAAAAATAAAAATAAAAATAAAAATATAGATAAAAATAAGTATAAATAAAAATAAAAACAAAAATAAAAATAATGAGAAAAACTAGCATTGTTTACTCAGTTAAAATAGGAAATAAAAATAGAGATAGAAATAGTCACCCTCCTATACTTCCGCCAGGACAATTATCACAGCAAATACATTATCACAGATTGCAAACCACTGGCAAGATATTTTTTTTTAAAAGAGTTTACTGAACCTACAAATAAGTCTACATCGATACTGTTCTGCAGGTGATTGAAGTATGAGCAGGCTCGATAGATTGGCTCATTTCTGGCAAGATATGTGGGGCGATTTTCCAAATAGAATTTGCGGTGGGAACGTGTGTTGACTACTGGTAAAGAAAAATTAAGGCTGTTTAGAAGATCTGGAGAGTCCACCAGGTTGTTAAATAATTTAAAAAGAAAGAGTTGACTTGCTAAAATTGTACTCTGTTGAAGTGAGAGGAAGTTGAACTTGTTGAGTAGCAACTGGTGGTCAAATCCTCTTGGAGGGTAAATTCCATCCTTTTTGAAACTTAGATACTTTAGGAATCGCCGTTGAACATATTCGAGCCTGTCCACATGTACTTGATGGTAAGGAAACCACACCAGAGAAGCATACTGCAATTTAGACTTGACCAAAGAGTTGTACAACGTGATGAGACTGTCGATGTTCTTAAACTCTCTTGTTGATCTAATAATAAACCCCAGGGTTTTCAATGATGAATACACAATTTGATCAATATGGTCATTGAATGTGAGCTTTTTGTCGATCACCACCCCCAGATTCCGGATTGAGTCAACTTTCAAAAGAGAACTAGATTGGAGTTGGTAATTGAAATTCAACTCATGATTGATATCGAGATGGTCATTGATTTACACTTATTGATGTTTAGATATAATTTGTTATTTTGACACCAACCTGAAAGTGCGTCAATATCTTTCTGCAGCTCGTTACAATCCTCTAAGTTGTTAATTATTCTAAATAGTTTGAGGTCATCTGCGAATAATAAACTGTGATGAGACGTTCTGGGCAATATCATTGACAAATATGGCAAATATCAGAGGCGCGAGATTACTTCCCTGAGGGGCTCCGCTGGTCGAGCATTATAATCATAGGATTGGAACCCATTGTATTTGAC